TCAATCCTTCAGCTTTTAAATTTCTAACATTTATTTTAATGCACTTTTATCAGTTTTTATGACATATTGCTGAATGTGAGTTACATGTTACATGAACAGAGATCATTGCTGCCCAATAAGAGTTCAGCATCTCTGTTTAGCTGACAGACTGAAATCTTTTAACAGTAGTGAATAATTGGTCATTATTTCTACACTAAACTCTCATCTTGTGTTCTCAGTTTCCCAGCATGCACTGGGTGGAGTGGTGGAGGTCAATGAGGGGGCGGAGTCTGTCCTGATGCCCTGCATTTACTCTGGTGTAATACCTGAAGACAATCCGTTCCTCCTCTGGACTCGCAGTGATCTCAGTCCTAACTCTGTCCACCTACGGAGAGAAAATGGTGACGATCTTAAAAACCAGAACCAGCGTTTCAGAAACCGGACCTCCATGAATCCTGACGCTCTTTATACTGGAAACTTCAGCCTGACTCTGAGGAAACCTGAGCAGGATGATGGAGGAAACTACAGCTGCAGCATCTCTGATGGAGTAAAAGAACGGACAGTGAAACAGATTCACCTGAAGGTCAAAGGTCAGATAAACAAGCAGCAAACCCTGTTTTAAAGTTTTGTGCTATGAATGAATTTATTGAAATGAGAAAATGAATAATTGTTCATAGTTTCTGTAACCATGGAGACCAGGCCCAGAATAACTCAGAATAATGGATAGATTATTTTTATAATGACATTTTATTAATACAATTATTTCTATAATCTGAGTTACTATGGAAACTGATTTATTTCCTATAAACCTGCTGTTAATACAAATGTAGATGTTTTCATTAATATTTCATGTTTCTTTAGTCTCCATAATTGACCTCAGTCAATATTTTAGTCTTTTATTAACAGTAAATCAGTCGGTTCTGTAATGACAGCAGCTTCATTCAAACATATTCATGTAAATATCAACAAAAATAAAATACAACATGAATTAGATAAATATTCAGCATCATTGTATGACTTCTTAAAAACACTTCATATTAAGCTTTTATGACCCTTTTCACTTTTTACAATGTTATTTATTTTATGCTGATCATTGACCAGCTGTATAAGCTGAACATTTACAGGATGAATCTCCAGGAATAATAATTCTCCATATATAATACAATAACAATAATTAGTATTAGTGTTTCTCATCTTCAGCCTCCACAGAACAAGCAGGTTTTGTAGATCTGCTATGTATAGATCAGACCCTCTGATGCATCAATAACTGTCCCATGAACCACTGATGGATCAAAGTTTCTGATTTCATGTTGATCATGAAAGAGAAACTGAACGACGACATCAAACCAGAATAATGATCCAAACTGTTTCTGCTCTTTTTGTTCTTTATTTCCTCTCAGTTGGTCAGCAGGAGGTCGAGGTCACTGAAGGGTCAGATTCTGTCGTCCTGCCCTGCAGAACATCATCCCTCCTTCCTGAGGACACGTCAGTGGAGTGGACCCGGTCAGAACCAGAATTTATGATGGTCCACTCAAGCAGCAACCAAAGAAACCAGGACGGTTTTTACCGCGACCGAACAGAAATGAGCAAAGACTTCCTGAGGACCGGAGACGTCAGCCTGACCCTGAGGAACCCCAGAGACGGAGACGGTGGACGCTACGTCTGCACCGTCCACAGAGACCAGGACGTCCTGAGACAGACTGTGGTTCTGAAATATGTCAAAGGTCAGTACAGAAAATCAAGTTGGAGTTCCTGACTAAGGTCAAAGGTCAGACTGAGGTCAACCTTTCTCTGTTTTTCCACAGAACCGTTTCCTTCCTGGGCCTCAGCTCTGCTGGTTCTGCTGGTTCTGGTTCTCATCGTCTCTGCAGGCGTTTTCTATCATTTTAAAGATTATTTCCTGAAAGGTGAGTCTGAATGTTTCTGACCCAGAATGTTAGAGATCATGTGACCTGTCCTGGGGGTCAGAGGTCAACAGTTCATCTTGTCATCAGTTCAGATCTTTCTGTTCATTCATGTTCAGATTAAATGAAGCAAAGTTAGAAACATCATGAACAGAACCAGAACCAGTTGCTGTCTCTACAGTCTATTAGATTTAAAGGGACTCAGCTGGAAGCTTGTTCCAGATTTATGATGCCTAGAAGCTGAATGCTGCTTCTCCATGATTGGTTCTGGTTCTGGATGTAGAGCAGAACCAGAACCAGCAGGTTGTTCTGACTATCAGTGCTACCTCGTCACATTTTCCTACCGCAGCACGGATAGATAGCTAAGTCTATCTGTCAGTGCTACCCGTCCAAAACTCCTACCGTCATGTTTACAAACAGGAAACTACAGCAGGTTGTTAATGATAAATATATTAGATAACATTATTTGAGTGACGGGACTGAAGTGGAAGCTAAAGAGTTAGCTTAGCTTAGCATTGGAACAATTTATATACATGACGAAACCACAGGAAGATCACTTCCTTCATCTGAATATCCTACCTATTTAAAATAAAAAGCTATAGATTTATGCACTAATCCTTTTACTACAATATCATACCTGTTAAAAATATTTTAAATACAGAGGTGTTTTTTGGGAATAAAAAAGTATCAGACAGGGAAAACAGGTTTTTATTGGAATTAAATTAAAGACAAATACAAATCACCGCAACCCTTTTTTACACATTAATCTGTTGTATGACAGACTTTATTAAATGCAGTTCAGCCACAACGTGTCCATCGAACTGCACAGGAAATGATAGGATATGATCCATGTGCACTAGTATTATACGGCTATTACAGCTTCAATCCCACATAGTATCGCTACCAACATCTATTTAGCAAGGTTTAGTAATAAACAGTGTTATTAAACTAAAATATTTTAAAGTATAGGGGCAAAAAGCCACAAAACAAAGTATTTTGTCCTGATTAACCTCCAAATAATAACTTGTTTACAGTAACGACATTACAGATACAAAACTAAAGACATTTAAAACTATATTTACAAGCTGCTGTCATATAAACTAAAATCATGAAGTAATACAGCAGCTTAATGAAAGCCAGATATAAAATAAGTTAAATAAAGCTTAACAATCGTAATCTGCCATGAAATAAAACACATGAAACGAAACTTCCACAGGCAGGACATATTTATAAGAGATCTGCTGAGTAAGCAGTTTGTGACGTAGCATCGATGTGTATTTCCACAAGGTAGGACGGATTTACAGGTAGCACAGATCTTCAGAACAGCTGCAGATCTTTAATCCGTTCAGTGATTTATAAACTACCAGCAGGATTTAAGTCTGTTCCTCTCAGTGAAGGACTGGAGCAGTGGGCGATTTGGTGTTTGGATGTTTTATTAGTTACTAATAAAGTTAAAGTAAAAGAGAGCAACTCAACATAATTCACCATTTTAAAGTAAAACTCGGCCTCTTCTGGGCAAAATGAGCAAACAGAAAATGTCTAAAGTAATAAAATACAAACTTTATTCTTAATAAACACAAATAGATTATAAATTTCCAGTCTGATGGAAACTCTCTCATAAATACACATAAACTACCTACAAACACAACTTCTGCAGATCTGCACTGATTCCTGAACATCTGAACAAAACATTGCTTTCAACATGTCTGCGCCCCCTAGTGGTGAAGCTACAAACTACAGTTCAGTTCTGCCTTCAGAACAGTTGCCTTGGTGATTTAACTCTGCTGTAGGATTTTTCTCTCTGATTTGAACGTCTCAGTTACAAGGAAACATTTCCACCAGAAAAACCTTCATGGTCTCTGAGCTGATGAAGGTTTTTATCCATCGTTCATCCAGGTCCAGGAGGAACGATAAAGACGATATCAGCTCATCATCTGCTCCACTTCTCTCTCATCAGAGCTGCTGTCCATCTGTCCGTCCAGCTCATCTTGTCCTCTGTTGTCTCTCAGCTCCACTGGTGAAGGTGGATTCAGGGGTGAAGTTTGTCCTGCTGCCCTGCAGAACCAGAGTCTGCCTGCCTGGAGGCGCTAGAGTGGAGTGGAGGGACGGAGACAACAGGACGGTCCATGTGTATCAGAAAGGTTCTGATGATCCTGAAGAACAGAACCTGACCAGCAGAACCAGGATGAATGACGACCCACTGAAGACTGGAGACCTCAGTCTGACTCTGAAACATCCCAAACCTGGAGACAGCGGGATCTACACCTGCAGAGTCAGGAAACGAGTCGTCCTGGTGATGAAACGGGTTCATCTCCAGGTCAAAGGAGATGAACCCGTTGCATTCTTCCAATCAGGTGATTGGTGGTGATCAATAGTGATGATTGACTGATCAGAAGGTCAATTTGATGTAATAAGTGAGGAAGAGGAAGCAGATCAGGAGGACGAGATCAAGGACAGACAGGGACCTGAAGAAGCAGCTGGAGGCTTTGACTAGGACAGTGCCCCCTGCTGGAGACACCAGTTAGTGTTCAGAACCACCAGACGGGTCAGAACCATCAGAACTGAAGTTCCTGCAGCCTGGAAGCAGCAAACATGTTGTGAATGAGGATGGATGTGGCTATTGATGGATATTTTGTATTTAATATGCTCACATGGCCGATGAGGCTGGAGAGCAAAGAGGTTGTAAAGAAAAGGTGGAAGAGGTTTGGACAGATGGTATTTGGTTTACCTCAGAGGATCCAGAGTCTTGGTCTGTTGCCCTCTAGCAGGAATCTCTGCTCCTCCTGGACGACATCAGGAGCTGATTTTGGTCTGACTGAACACTTCAATGTCAACATGTGGAAAAGTTTTCCAAAAACCAACAAATCAGCAGAAGATCAGAGATTATCTTGGCAGATTCATCCTGAACATTTATTGAAAAGAATTATAATCCCACCAGTACAATATTTGGGAACCAAAACATTAAAAATGGCATAGAAATTTTTAGAGAAGGTTAATTGAAATCAACTATGGAACATGTAAAGTAAATAAAATGAAGTCAGCTCCATTCTCAAGGTCAGAAGTGATGTACAAGGTAACATTAGCTAAACTCAGCTGTGTTTCACAATCAGTCACTGGGAAACTAAAGGTTTTTATGTTTCAATAGAAAGTGGCATTAAGGAGTTGGAGAGACTTTTAATGTCCACTTTGCATAACAATGTTTCACCTACATTTTCTCACATTGGCAACCAAATAACTGTTACCTGAACCTGAACTTATCTGAACCTGAACTCAAAACCCTCTTTGCTCAAAGCATCATGTACTGATGTCACTTTTTCCCTGTTAATGGATCTTTGCAGACTGTGTGCAGTGTCCCATCGTGCATCTTCAGTTTTTCCCACTGTCTTAGGATTTTGAGCACAAAGCAACTCAACTCTCGCTGGTCTTGATGGTCGTCTCCCTCAAATGATGAGTGGATGACTTGAGATTGAACAGCATCATTTCTCTGGCTGTCATGAAGCTCTTCAAGTGAAAAACCAGGCAGATGGTTTTCACCTGACTGGACCAACTGGACCAGCATGAAACCATGAATATCTGCTTTGGACCTTCATCCATATGACCTGCTAATACTGCAGATACTTCAGTCTGATAGGGACTCAGTTTTCAGTTCACTCAGTCTGGCTGCATGCTGAATGTTTTGGTGGTTGACAAAATATACACAATATAAATTGTTTTAAAATTATTAGACATTGTTTGACACTTCACTGTGCAGAGATATTTTTAAATTCACTGATCCTCTCACATTTTACCTACAGAGCTACTGTCTGGTCTCAGACTAATCAAACTATACTCAAACCACTAGCAAGTCTGTATAATCAGGCCTGAAAGGTTTTATATCAAAAGCTGATTAGA